CCTACCCAGGTACCCAACCCTACCCAGGTACCCCACCCTACCCAGGTTCCCCACACTACCCAGGTACCCCACACTACCCAGGTACCCAACCCTACCCAGGTACCCCACACTACCCAGGTTCCAAACCCTACCCAGGTACCCCACCCTACCCAGGTACCCCACACGACCCAGGTACCCCACACGACCCAGGTACCCCACTCTACCCAGGTACCCCACACTACCCAGGTACCCCACACTACCCAGGTACCCCACTCTACCCAGGTACCACCAGACCACAGAGGCCCTGACAAGAGAGGATGGACCTGAGTCCCTGTCTGCCTGGAGCTCCACTGACAAGAGAGGATGGACCTGAGTCCCTGTCTGCCTGGAGCTCCACTGACAAGAGAGAACGGACTCTGATTCCTTATCTTTGTCCGGAGCTCCACTGACAAGAGAGAATAGACTATGATTCCTTATCTTTGTCTGGAGCTCCCTTTGTCTGGAGCTCCACTGACAAGAGAGGATGGACTTGAGTCTGGACGTCCCCTGACAAGAGGGGTTGAATCCTATCAACCAACCTGACTGCCAATCATTGTCTTGAACGCCTCTAGAGTCATCTTATGGTAAGTAGCCACAGGATCTACCAGCTCCTCTTTAGGCATGAAGATCTGTCACAACAAATAAAAAAGTGATTACAATCATACAACAGGAAAGGGATAGAGAGAGACAGGATCCGTTACAACACAGAGACAGGATCTGTTACAACACAGGGAGAGACAGGCTCTGTTACAACACAGGGAGAGACAGGATCTGTTATAACACAGGGAGAGACAGGACCCGTTACAACACAGAGACAGGATCTGGTACAACACAGAGAGAAACTAGATCTGTTACAACACAGGGAGAGACAGGATCTGTTACAACACAGAGAGAAACAGCATCTGGTACAACACAGGGAGAAACTAGATCTGTTACAACACAGGGAGAGACAGGATCTGTTACAACACAGAGAGAAACTGGATCTGTTACAACACAGAGAGAAACAGGATCTGGTACAACACAGAGAGAAACTAGATCTGTTACAACACAGGGAGAGACAGGATCTGTTACAACACAGAGAGAAACTGGATCTGTTACAACACAGAGAGAAACTAGATCTGTTACAACACAGGGAGAGACTGGATCTGTTACAACACAGGGAGAGACAGGATCTGTCACAACACAGGAGAGACAGGATCTGTTACAACACAGGAGAGACAGGATCTGTCACAACACAGGGAGAGACAGGATCTGTTACAACACAGGAGAGACAGGATCTGTTACAACACAGGAGAGACAGGATCTGTTACAACACAGGAGAGACAGGATCTGTTACAACACAGGGAGAAACTAGATCTGTTACAACACAGGGAGAGACAGGATCTGTTACAACACAGGAGAGACAGGATCTGGTACAACACAGGGAGAGACAGGATCTGTTACAACACAGGAGAGACAGGATCTGTTACAACATAGGAGAGACAGGATCTGTTACAACACAGGGAGAAACTAGATCTGTTACAACACAGGGAGAGACAGGATCTGTTACAACACAGAGAGAAACTGGATCTGTTACAACACAGGGAGAGACATGAGAGACAGGATCTGTTACAACACAGGGAGAGACATGAGAGACAGGATCTGTTACAACACAGGGAGAGACATGATAGACAGGATCTGTTACAACACAGGGGAGACAGGATCTGTTACAACCCAGGAGAGACAGGATCTGTTACAACACAGGGAGAGACATGAGAGACAGGATCTGTTACAACACAGGAGAGACAGGATTTGTTACAACACAGGAGAGACAGGATCTGTTACAACACAGGAGAGACAGGATCTGTTACAACACAGGAGAGACAGGATCTGTTACAACACAGGGAGAGACATGAGAAACTGGATCTGTTACAACACAGGGAGAGACAGGATCTGTTACAACACAGGAGAGACAGGATCTGTTACAACACAGGAGAGACAGGATCTGTTACAACACAGGGAGAGGCAGGATCTGTTACAACACAGGAGAGACAGGATCTGTTACAACACAGGGAGAGACTGGGTCTGTTACAACCCAGGGAGAGACAGGATCTGTTACAACACAGGGAGAGACATGAGAGACAGGATTTGTTACAACACAGGGAGAGACAGGATCTGTTACAATCCAGGGAGAGACAGGATCTGTTACAACACAGGGAGAGACATGAGAAACTGGATCTGTTACAACACAGGGAGAGACAGGATCTGTTACAACACAGGAAAGACAGGATCTGTTACAACACAGGAGAGACAGGATCTGTTACAACACAGGGAGAGACATGAGAAACTGGATCTGTTACAACACAGGGAGAGACAGGATCTGTTACAACACAGGAGAGACAGGATCTGTTACAACACAGGGAGAGACAGGATCTGTTACAACACAGGAGAGACAGGATCTGTTACAACACAGGGAGAGACAGGATCTGTTACAACACAGGGAGAGACATGAGAGACAGGATCTGTTACAACCCAGGGAGAGACAGGATCTGTTACAACACAGGGAGAGACAGGATCTGTTACAGCACAGGAGCGACGGGGATCTGTTACAACACAGGGAGAGACAGGATCTGTTTCAACACAGGGAGAGACAGGATAGATTAAGACTCACTAGTTACCACAAAAGCTATTGAGCAAGCAGAAGCAAAAATATTATCACCTCTGCTAGACTTTTCTCAAGGTCATAGACTTTTGTCATTTTCTCAAGGGTAGAGTTGTCTCCCCCTAAGAGCTCGCCCATCTGTGTGGCAAAGCCAAGGAAAGCCTTCTTGAACTTCTGTGAGTTGTTTCCTGTGTACTCTTCCCTCTCACCAAGAGTCAGGCCACTTTGCTGGAACTGAAACAGGAAGGGTCTTATGTAATACCCTTGTAATACAAGACCTTAACAATACAAATACCAACTAACAGTGTCCTTGAGGTCTGCTGCTATAGTATCTTAAACGAGGGACACTCATATTTTTGTTATTATTATTTTTTTATTATTTTGCAATTTTTAGTTCTATCGTATTATGACAAGGGCCTCCTGAATATTATGTTTCTTTTTTCTTTGAAGGTGTCTCAAATCCTCCAAGAGGTATCAAAGGATGACAATATATTACATTCCTCCCAAGTTTGTTTGTTTGTTTGTTGTTTAACGCCGCACTCAGCAATATTCCAGCTATATGACGGTGGTCTGTAGATAATAGAGTCTCGACCAGACAATCGAGTGATTGACATCATGAGCAACGATCTTCGAAATTGGGATACGATGACATGCATCAAACAAGTCAGGAAGCCTGACCACCCGATCCCGTTAGTTGCCTCTTATAACAAGCATAGTCGCCTTTTACGGCAAGCATGGGTTGCTGAAGACCTATTCTAACCCGGATCTTCACGGGTTTCCTCCCAACATGACAATATATCATATATCTCATAGAGTCGAACCTCACTTATCCGGACACCTGCCTTTCCTCAAATATATCTGAATCCCGTGTTAACTAAGTTATCCCCTATCAAAATTCTACCAAGGCTTATAAGACTGTTGATTGACTTACCGTTATGATATTCTTATCACTGTGCATGTCGTCCTGGCTGACGGTCATAAGGAAGAACGCTGGGCGGTTTAACTTGTGCATAGCTACCAGGGTGTCCATGAAACTCCAGCTAGCCTCCTCCCATGTTCCTGAGTCAGGGTCAGAGGCCACCGTCCATGACCCCAACTTTTTGATTAACTGAAACAGTCAAGGTGAGTGAGTGAGTGTGTGAGTGAGTGAGTGGGGTTTAATGCCGCTTTTAACAATATTCCAGTTATATCACTGCATGTCAGCTTAATGTGGGAGGAAAGCCTGAAGTAATGCAGGTCTCAGATGTTTACCACAAGCACATGTATGGTGCTGACAAACCTAGAAATATAAACAGGGGGAACGGGGATTCAAACCCACAATAATAGTTTTCTGGCTCTACACAGCGATTTGGGGCGCCTTAGATGACTGGACCACCCTTTTGTTACATTGTTGTTTGTTTGTTTGTTGTTTAACGCCGCACTCAGCGATATTCCAGCTATATGACGGCAGACTGTAAATAATCGAGTCTGGACCAGAAAATCCAGTGATTGATGTCATGAGCATCGATCCACGCTATATGGGATCGATGGCATGCATCACCCAAGTCAGCGAGCCTGACCAACCGATCTTGTAAGTCGCCTCTTACGACAAATATAGTCGCCTTTTACAGCAAGCACATGGGTTGCTGAAGATCTATTTTACCCCGGATCTTCATGGGTCTCTTTTCTTACAAGAAGCATTGGAAATTGCAGATGTAATAGGCTATTATATTTGGTATATTTCCATACCAAACAAGGGCATGCTTTAAGCGCTATTATCACCCAGGTCACTGGATCAGTGTGCACTCAACAATCATTCTCAGCTCCCTGGGGAACATTATGTATTTATTCACGTATGTATTTATTTACTCATTTAGTTAAGTTATTTTATTTTTGGCTATTTACAATTTCATGCAGATTCACTATATACATAGAACTCATCTATAAAAATGTGAATTAAAAGTTTAAAAGAAACAAAAAACAGCAGATGTATTCAGAAGATACAAAGCAAGCTGTAATAAGTCTGGGCCATTCAAATGTGGTGAACATCAGCTCATGACATATTCAGATACCCGCAGAAACAAAATGAGTGAGTGAGTATGGTTTTACGCCGCTTTTAGCAATATTCCAGCAATATCACGGCGGGGGACACCAGAAATGGGCTTCACACATTGTACCCATGTCGGGAATCGAACCCCGCAGAGACAAAGCATCACGTACCTGAAGAGCCGGAACAATGCCCAGATTCTCCACTGCCTGCTTGTCCATGCAGTTCTTGTACAAGGTCTTGGCTTTGCCCACTGATGTAGAGTTTTCCCCCTTGTACATGGTTCCCTTGGAGTCGAGGATCTGGCAATAAACAGCTTGGTGGTACAGCGGTTCCAGCAATATCATTCAGGGAAGTATTTGGCATTGACTTTGACCCAGCATTGTGTGACTTGTCTGGGTCGCAGATCTAGTGCACCCCTCAGTTTCTTTATTGATTGTTTGTTTGTTTGTTTGTTTGTTTAACACTGTACACAGCAATATTTCAGCTATATGATGGCAGTGTGTTTGTTGTTTATCGCTGCACTCTGCACTATTCCAGCTATATGACGGTCTGTAAGTAATCGAGTCTGGACCAGACAATCCAGTGATTGACATCATGAGCATCGATCCACGCAATTGAGTACAATTCATCTATCAACCAAGTCAGAGGGCCTGACCACCCGATCCCTTTAGTCACCTCTCATGACATAAACTGGTACTTGAAGGTGAATTCTAACCTGGGATCTTCACCTGGCAGTAATTTAGAGTGAGTGAGTGAGTGAGTATGGTTTTACGCCGCTTTTAGCAATATTCCAGCAATATCACGGCGGGGGGACACCACAAATGGGCTTCACACATTGTACCCATGTCAGGAATCAAACCTGGGTCTTCGGCGTGACGAGCGAACGCTTTAACCACTAGGCTACCCGACCGCCCCCAGTAATTTAGAAGATAAAAGTAATCTCATTACAGAGATGGCAACCCCAGTAGGAGCGGTGCTTAAAGTAATTTTATAACCCAACAAGACAGTCAGGCAGGTGACCCATAAATGTTGCCTGCCCATCTTCAAAGTTACCTGCCTGCATTCAGACATTATGAATATTGAACAATAGAAAAAAACTAAGAGATGAATCGTGTCTTGATTCAGTTAAAATAATGCAAACGATTACTTGAGAATCCACGACAAATTATAAGTGAACTGGATAAGTAAGTAGTAAGTAAATTATCTGCCAGACAGTCGGCCAGGTGAAGGAAAATATCATGCAGCCCGACAGACAGCCACGGGAAGGCGGGCAAGCAGTTATTTCGGACACTGAGTTGGAGAGGTCCAGAAAAATGTTAAATATAATTGGGGGGGGGGGGGGGGGGGGGGGAGGGGGGAGGAAGTCAGGACAAAAATGCTACATAAAATGAGGGGCCCAGCAAATTATGACACAGCCCTAAGACCTTTTCCCCCTCTATAATACATAATCCCATTAAAATCAGATCTTAGTTCTGGCTATCACTAAACAAAGATCTGAGGACATCCCATAAGGGTCACGTCAGAACGACCTTTCATCGACCAATGAAAGCGTCGCTTACCAGATCATGAAAGTGACATTCGGAATGTGTTTTCTAGTCATGCAACCTCGTAAACGTTAACACGGGGTATTCCCAACAACAGTTACGACTGATTCCGTCAAAATTATCGTCTATCTCTCGTTTCCGTGGGATAAACATACAACATCAACCATATATTAGACATTCCGGTATGTTCGTTTGTTCAGTTTTCAAAATTTTAATCGAGAACTGTGTCAACATATATTTCAAGTGTAGTCTGAAATGAAAGTCGCCAGGTTGAAACGAGTGCCGTAAAGCTCGAGAAAGCTGCTTTCTAATTGGCTGATGTCGACTTCTTGTTAGTCATTTCAGTGATCGGTCAAAGTTCGCGAAAGGTCGTTCTGACGTGACCCGTAATGGGATGTCCTCAGATCTTTGTTTAGCGGCAGCGAGAACTTAGATCTGATTTTAATGAGATTGCTTTAATACATGACCTGTCCCTACCCCCAGAAAATACAAGCTGACATCATTGGGCATTAGTTTCAGAAGAGCTGGTCGGAATGTCTGATTGCTGTGTACCTGAATACTTGTAATTTTACTCACCTTCTTCAAAAGAGCTTTGTTCTTAGTTTCCAGTTCTTGAAAGGAGCCATATTTGGCCTTATCAGGGGGGATAACTGTGTTGTGTTCCCATCCTCCACAAGCATACTCATAGAAGTTGTCACAGGGATCTTGTGTTGTGTTCATCAAGGATATGATGTAGGCACTGGTGGTCACACATTCTGGGGTTGTACAAACCTGTAACAACAAAACAGCGAGGAGTAGGGTTTTTGTTCCACTTTTATCTCAATCTCAGCTGGAATCAGTGAGTCGGTTGGTTTGTTGTTTAACGCCACGCTCAGCAATATTCCAGCTATATGATGGCAGTCTGTAAATAATCGAGTCTGGACCAGACAATCCAGTGATTGACATCATGAGCATCGATCCACGCAATTGGGATTGATGACATGCTCCAACCAAGTCAGCGAGCCTAACCACCCGATCCTGTAAGTCGCCTCTTACGACAAGCATAGTCGCCTTTTATGGCAAGCATGGGTTGCTGAAGACCCCGGATCTTCACGGGTCGAATCAATGAGTAGGACTTCATGGTATTTCCAGAGTACTGGTATAATGAAAACAATACTTAAAAACAATGCGATCCTATATAGCATGCAGTTACTTCCCTTTACATGCTCACTGCTTTACTGTGCTTCTTGTGTTATGTGGTATGGTCATGGCGGCAATAGAAGTTTGTGTGCTTGCTTTGCCGTAAATTACATAAATTTCATTCATGACAAAAAGGTATTAGGTGTTTCTTAATTTGTAGGTTTTTGCTAAGAATAAACCCATATTATGAAGAACAGGATTATCACCTGTTTGCATTAGCTGTGAATGTTATAACAGATATTCAGTGTAATATGACGAGAGATACTTTTTTCTTATAGTGGCATACCGTTCACCTGTAAACATCAAATGGTATTTGTCTTCAATATATTTAAACTTTTTGGACAAACAAATCACAAAATCGTTCATTATTGGGAGCGTAACTGTGTCTTACAAATTCTACATTTAAACGGAAATTATTACATCTAAACTTTGAAATATCTCTTAATGTAATGTGGAAAGTCATTTGTTAAACGTTCTGTGTTTAACATAGATTTGTACTGAACATAGTAATTACATTTCGAAGATAATTCCGTTGGTTGGTTGGTTTGTTGTTTAACCCTGCACTCAGCAATATTCCAGCTATATGACGCCGGTCTGTAAATAATCGAGTCTGGACCAGACAATCCAGTGATTAATATCATGAGCATCGATCAACGCAATTGGGATCGATGACATGCATCAACCAAGTCAGCGAGCCTGCCCACCCGATCCCGTTAGTCGCCTTTTACGACAAGCATAGTCGCCTTTTACGGCAAGCATGGATTGCTGAACATGTATTCTACCCCGGATCTTCACGGGTCGATAATTCCAATGAAGAATGCCAGTTCTATACAGGTTATCTGATACTCTTTGCTGAAATTCATTTAGGAAAAATGTTAATCACCGAATTCTTGTTGTAACCAGACGAGCCCAAAACCGAAGCTGAACAAAATGTTGGTAATTGATGTAGCCCATGTCCCTCTTCCCACCGCATCAAGTGATTTTAGCATCAAGATGAAGTAGTCTGCACCAATATTTTACTGCTCGTCATATAGATAGACTGTAGAGGGAGTCTGTGACCCGCCCTAAGTACCATATTATTAGGTGCATTCTTAGAGACGAAGATACCGTTTACAGAAGGATATTTGGACATTTTCAATTAACTTGTTGTACAATGTTCCCCAAACTTCAGCTCCGTGACACAAGATTGGAACGACAACACTGTCAAATATTTTAAAGGCATCTTGAAATGATTCCATTTTTCTTTTGACATTTGTTGATGAATCGGATTTCTTTGTTTGCTTGAGCTGTTAGGCTACTAAAGGTCTTACTCCACGACAACTTGGAGGTGAAAACTTCAATTTTTTTTCCTTGGAAGTACCATTTTTCATAACTTTTCAATATTCCACCTCGTTTACTTTTGTTTACATTTACTTCAACACCAGTGGATACACAGAAACTTTCAAGAAAATTTATTTTCTTTTGTATCACGGCCAATATCAAATACTCAAAAGAAATTTCATAAGTATTGATAGGAAGACTGAAGACTTTCTCTAACGACTAATGTTCGTTTCAAGGTGAGTTGGGGTGGTCGGGTAGCCTAGTGGTTAAAGCGTTCGCTCGTCACGCCGAAGACCCGGGTTCGATTCCCGACATGGGTACAATGAGTGAAGCCCATTTCTGGTGTTCCATGCTGTGATATTGCTGTAATATTGCTAAAAGTGGCGTAAATCAATACTCACTCACTCACTCAAGGTGAGCACATGGTAAGGTGAGCTAATGGTAAGGTGAGCTCATGATTTGCCGATCAGTTCATACACGATTTTGCAACAATTAATGTAATAAAATTGAATGAAATCTTGGAGAGAAGTAATATAATGGATAACAAGGTAAGTCCAGATACACAATCAACACTTTTACAGCGAGATTGTGTAATAATAGGACTAGCTTGCGTACTTCAGTACGGATTTGTTGACCCGATTCTTCAGGTATTGTGTGTTCACGATAACGTTTTCGCATTGTGAAATAAAATCAAAGCTAATTGTGTGAGTGATATGTACATACTGGTAGGCCCCCTACATAAAACTGAAGAGCGGATAATTTGCGATCACAAGAACAACGGGAATGCATTCAGGTGTAATAATAATGATAATAATAATAATAATAATAAGTGCATTTATAATGCGCCAGATTCCATTCACCAAGTGGATGCTCATAGCGCTACACTATTATCACCCCGGTAAATGGATTAGTGAGCACTTGATTTTCATTCTCAGCTCCCTGGGGAGTATACAACCCAGGCTGCCTGTGAGGGGCTAGAAGGATAACACCCACCTCATCCTACCGGGTACCCACTCACTGCTGGGTGAACAGAGGCACATTTTGAACAAAGTCACTTGCCACATGTGGTACATGTGCTTCAGTGTGGGGCAGGACGGAAGCCCTCGAAACTCTCAGGAGTCAAGCTGCTGAACGTGGTCACCCATCCAACTACTCTCCGAGACCGACGTTGCTTAACTTCACCTGATTTGCACAGGACCACATGCCACCACAGTGTAGGTGGACCGAAGTGCGAGCCCTGGAGACATATATTGAGGATGTGATGTGCATAGGACCACATGCCACCACAGTGTAGGTGGACCGAAGTGCGAGCCCTGGAGACATATATTGAGGATGAGAGTCCACCATGTCCAGCGAGCAAATTTTGTGTGTGTTAAACCTGAGGCCATATTATTGTCTTATCTGCCTCACCACATCCTGACACTACCCCTGACACCCCCCCATCACCCCCCCCCCCCCCCCCACCAAATATCAGAATGGTTGATCTGTTATTTAAGGATTCAAGGATATAGCTTTTCTTTCACAGAAGACCCAAGAACGTGGGGTTAACACTCTGATTGTTTTATGCAGCCTGAGGGGGGCACGGGTGGCCCAGTCGTCTCAGGCGCTGCGATTCGCTGTGCAGAGTTGCATCCCTTGGGCACGCCAGAAACCTTTGATTGTGGGTTCCAATCCCGGTCCGCCCCGATGATGTTTCTAGGTTTGTCAGCACCATATCCGTGCTCTTGGGTTTCACCAAAGTGGTAAACGTTTTAGACCTGAATCACTTCAGGCTTTCCTCCCACATTAAGCTGACACGCCATGATATATCTGTAATACTGTTATCCACAGATGTCTGGTCAAGTACCCCACAATCCAAAGTACCTGATACATAATGTGACTTAGTAAGTAGGACAAAATCACAAACCTTGCACTCGTCAGCTGAAACAGCTCCAGCTACCAACATATGGAACAACAGGAGGACCTTCATTCTACCATGTAAACTACGGCAGCTGCTGTCCTGGTCGGCTTCGGGAACGAGTGCCAGCTATTATTAACTGCACAATACCAACATACAGTACGGAATGACTGATTGGCTGCTTACCATTTCCTGGTGCAATGACAGCAGGTCGGGAATATGATTACTGTGTAATTACATAGATGTGAATGTATATCCCTGGACAAAGAGACATGGTAAGGTGTTATCTGAAACATGGTGTGTGTAGGTGGCGTTGTACATAGTGTCTCAGTGTCTACAGTCTGGTTCAACAGTGGCGTACAGACTGACCATTTGACAGAAACATGGTGTGTGTAGGTGGCGTTGTACATAGTGTCACAGTGTCTACAGTCTGGTTCAACAGTGGCGTACGGACTGACCATTTGACAGAAACATGGTGTGTGTAGGTGGCGTTGTACATAGTGTCACAGTGTCGACAGTCTGGTTCAACAGTGGCGTACGGACTGACCATTTGACAGAAACATGGTGTGAGTAGCTGGCGTTGTACATAGTGTCACAGTGTCTACAGTCTGGTTCAACAGTGGGGTACAGACTGACCATTTGACAGAAACATGGTGTGAGTAGGTGGCGTTGTACATAGTGTCACAGTGTCTACAGTCTGGTTCAACAGTGGCGTACAGACTGACCATTTGACAGAAACATGGTGTGTGTAGGTGGCGTTGTACATAGTGTCTCACAGTGTCTACAGTCTGGTTCAACAGTGGCGTACGGACTGACCATTTGACAGAAACATGGTGCGTGTAGGTGGCGTTGTACATAGTGTCACAGTGTCTACAGTCTGGTTCAACAGTGGCGTACGGACTGACCATTTGACATTTTGACGATTTATTTTTCGCCTCAGGTTTGATGCACCCGTATAGAAAAATCATATATTGTTACACGGATTAATATTTTGATACACAGAAAAATCCTACATTGTTACACAAGACCATACTTTGATACACAGACTTACTGAAGATCATGATTTTATCAGAAGATCACAGTTTGCTACTGAAGAACATAACAATTTGCTTCACAGAAGATCAAATTTTGCAACACGGAACAATATTTTTTGTTCACAGTGCCTGAAAGGCAGACAATAAATACCTTACATGACAACTCTTATTGTATGAAGCCAGTGTACATTCTCACCAATAAACATGACACACTCATGGAAAATGATGAACACACAAACTTACTTTACGATTCACAAAACGAAATGAGGACTCAGAAATAAGTGTGAGTCGCCTCTTACGACAAGCATAGTCCCCTTTTACAGAAATAAGTTTATACAGATATGGCACAATAATATCCAAGGCCTTTTCAAGCCTTTTTAAGGTTTTCAACTGTCATTTTGAAGGCTTTTTCACTTGTATTATTAGGTTAAGTCTGTCAATATTTTATTAAATCTAGCAGACTATATATTTGTTGTAAGCCCTAAAATGCAATTTAAATATAAATTTTTTTCGAACAAGATTTAATTTCACAATCAACAAAAAAATAAATAAAGTCTGTCATAACTTCTTTGGCACACAAATCTATCACTGTGATAAAACACACTTAAACATCCTTGGTACATATTTTTGTGTTTCTTAATACTTTTATTAATAAGTATATGTCATTTTGTACACATTCAAGGCTTTTCAAGCTATCTTGGTGATTTTCAAGGGTTTTAAAGGTTGACACTTGTCGAGTTCTCAAATAAATACATCAGTCTTCTTAGGCTTCATGATAGTTTAATTTTGACTCGCGTCGGCATTGCTTGTACAGATCTCAACATATGCTCATGACTAAGGGAGCTTATCCACACTCACCCAGTTGCATACCACTAAATAAGCTCAATAAGCTACTCCACACTGACCTCCTGCCTCTGTGTTGTGAAGTGCTGCCATGCTATGAAGATGACATTAACAAGTTTGACACTGACCTCCTGCCTCTGTGTTGTGAAGTGCTGCCATGCTATGAAGATGACATTAACAAGTTTGACACTGACCTCCTGCCTCTGTGTTGTGAAGTGCTGCCATGCTATGAAGATGACATTAACAAGTTTGACACTGACCTCCTGCCTCTGTGTTGTGAAGTGCTGCCATGCTATGAAGATGACATTAACAAGTTTGACACTGACCTCCTGCCTCTGTGTTGTGAAGTGCTGCCATGCTATGAAGATGACATTAACAAGTTTGACACTGACCTCCTGCCTCTGTGTTGTGAAGTGCTGCCATGCTATGAAGATGACATTAACAAGTTTGACACTAACCTCCTGCCTCTGTGTTGTGAAGTGCTGCCATGCTATGAAGATGACCAGGGCGACGATGATGAGAAACGATGTGATGGCAATAGCCTTGAGTCTGCAGTCTCCAGACTTCTGGGATTTAGGCTTTTTGTTGAGAGTGTCTGTGAACAGAAAGAAAACATTATGCAGTTTCCAAACTATTCCAGTCTCCACTCCAGCCACTTGTCTGAAGCTGAGTTTGGTAAAACGTTTTTGGGTCCAGTTACCACAGCAACAATATGCTGAAAATGAAGACATTCATGAAAAGACAGCAGGACCTTTTTTTCTGGTCCAAGGAGCATAATAAAGAATGGTAGGGCTGGGACGAGACCAAAGCTACTACCCCGGTACCGGACCCCCTAATCCGGGTACCTGCTGTGGGGTCAAGAGTTGGGTAGAAAATGTCTGATGAGGAATTGTTCTACCGGACCCCTGGCTTGGTTGGTTGGTTTGTTTGTTGTTTAACGCCGCACTCAGCAATATTCCAGCTATATGACGCCGGTCTGTAAATGACTGAGTCTCGACCAGACAATCCAGTGATTAATATCACAAGCATCGATCCACGCAATATGGGATCAATGACAAGCATCAACCAAGTCAGCGAGCCTGACAACCTGATCCTGTGAGTCGCCTCTTACGACAAGCATAGTTGCCTTTTACAGCAAGCATGAATTGCTGAAGACCTATTCTACCCCGAATCTGTGGGTACTCAGGTCCTACTCAGTACCTAACGAGTACCCAAGTTACCCGTCCCAGCCCCAAAGAAGCGGTAAAATCAAGTTGAGGCCTTGCAGAGTTTGGTTAAACTTTGCAGAATTTCTGCAATCTGATGATACTGATATCTCCATTTTAGTATCAAGAACCAACTTCGTGGTCCAGCTGAGAGAGCATCTACCCGGAGAGCGGAATATTGGTGGTTCATGTTAAAAGATGTTCAAAGACGGTACTCATTGTTACCCTGCCTGGCACTCGACATTAAGGGAATAAAGCAATCAGTATGCATTATATGATGCTGCCACACAAGTACTGTAGTGAGTGAGTGAGTTGGGTTTAACGCCGCTTTTAACAGTATTCCAGTTATATCACGGCGTGTCAGCTTAATGTGGGAGGAAAGCTCGAAGTGATGCAGGTCTCAAACATTTACCGCTTCGGTGAAACCCACGAGCACGGGTATGGTGCTGACAAACCTAGAAACATAATCAGGGTGAACTTGGATTCGGACCCACAATCATAGGTTTCTGGCTTGCCAAAGGGACGCAACTCTGCATAGCGAATCGCGGCGCCTTAGACAACTAGGCCGACCGTGCTCCCCCCAAGTACTGTAACAGTCACTACTAACTGTATTCACAACCATGAGATGGCCATTAGAGATCTGAGATTATACCTACCGTATTCGATGTAATAAGCACCCGCGGTGCTCTCAAAAGTAGAAATAGGGGGCTCTTATAAGAATATAATTTTGGTGAGATAAAAAACAGTTGAAAGATTGTAAATTTTGTGGTTTATTCTGACAGCCTGAAATGATATAAAAGAAGAATCTGTGTGTATTATACACGACGATATATTTTCGTGAATTGAATTGCCAAAATAATTAAGGGTGCACATAACACACGAGTGCGTATTATTCACGAATGAATAAATCTTGTGTACATTGATCAATCGGAAAGGGTGCTATTGCGATTGTTCACTAGCTAATATATATGCAAATATCGCTGTGGGTGCTTATCAGAACAGGGCGCTTATTACCTCGAATACGATAGACGAGTTTATGCATCTATGTTTCAACTTTGATAAATTTATGGAGCAACCAGCTTTTCATGTCAACATGCACTTGGTGCAAGTCAAATCAAGTTCCTTAAATCAAGCTCTTAATATGTGTCTTAAAAAAATATGAGAACTCAATGAAACTGTTGAATAATTTACTAGTTGAATGAAACCCTTAATTGTTTCTGCTTAAGTCCCTGATGCGTGAAGGAAATGGAAGAATTCTCTTTGTTTTGTTTGTTGGTTTGTTGTTTAACGCCGCACTCAGCAATATTCCAGCAATATGACAGCGGCCTGTAAATAACCAGACAATCCAGTGATTGACATCATGAGCATTAATCCATGCAATTGGGATACGATGACATGCGTCAACCAAGTCAGCGAGCCTGACCACCCGATCCCTTTAGTTGCCTTTTACAACAAGCATAGTCGCCTTTTCAAGCAAGCACGGGTTGCTGAAGACCTATTCCAACCCAAATCTTCGCAGGTAAATTCTCTTTGTGGTCTGTACACTTTCCACAACTCTCCTGCAATTAATGCTGACATACTGGAAAACATGTGGACAGGAAATGACACAACTTGACAACTGTGAATGCCTGCACTCATCCTTGAAATGGACATGCAAACTGCGGAACCAAAACTTAATTTGATATTGATGATAACAAAGAAATAAACATGAGTAATTCAATGTTTATTTAATCGATTAAAATTTCTAAAGGTCTGTCAGGTTTTCAAAATAAATAGGTTTATATTAAAAAGTGTGTTTTATTATGTTTTGAGTGGAAATTTTAAATCAGTGCCCTTCAGAATTTCTAAGACACAAATTTTCATTTGTCAAGTTTCACGCCACGGACATATTTCGTCTGAATTCCCCACATGGGAACTCCAAAGTCAGAATTGGGCAAAATATGGTGAGGAATTAGAGTGAGTAAGTGAGTTGGGTTTAACGCCGCTTTTAACAGTATTCGAGTTGTATCACGGCATGTCAGCTTAATGTGGGATGAAAGCCCGAAGTGATGCAGGTCTCAGACGTTTACCACTTCGGTGAAACCCCTGAGCACAGGTTTGGTGCTGACAAACCTAGAAACAAAATCAGGTGAACCAGTATTTGCATCCACTGTCACAGGTTCCTGGCATGCCAAAGGGACGCAACTCTACACAGGGAATTGTGGTGCCGTAAACGACGGGGCACATGTGCCCCCTGTGGAATTAGAAGAATTTTGCCTTGAAAATGACCATTATTACATTACCATACTTAAAAATAAAAAGCTCTCGAGATGGAGGTGCCCACTTTAAACACAGACATTGTGTTTTGATGTTTTGTCTTTCCAAATAGCAAACACATGATCACTAGACACCTGTACTGTGTCATGCAAGTTCGTCATATTTTTATCTGGTTATCAACAGTTATTCACTGTAATTCTGGCTTTACTTTTAAATTAATTTAATTCTAAATTCCATCAAATATTGTTTACATTAATTTTGACGAATACAATGTTTCAGCCTCAAACTGCGATGACTTTGGAACGTAGTGGATAATCATATCACGGCTCACACATCCACAGAATTCTGAATTACCAGAACTTGAAATTGAAATTGAAAAATAATAATGACTAAAACTCAGCCCTTTTTTTCCTGCAGGTACGATTCCACGGATAATTTAAATGACTGAAATTATACAAGGTTTCTTTTTCCAAGATATAAGGTGACACATTTTTTATTTCTTGGTTTACGGATTTCAAACTCATTTGACCTGCGGTATCTGGTGACTTGTGACTCATGGCTCCTGGCCGGTGTACCAACCAACAGTGTTGAAAGAGTGAACCTGGTCACCACTGCGCTTTGCGTTGCCAAGCTTTGATGGTATTAGAGAAGGATCCCAGTAATTCGTATTTTTATTTTTTTTGATCATTTGGACTTTGAAAGAGCGGCGCATCCGTAAACCAAGTAATAAAAAAAATGTCGCCTAAGGAAATGTGTGTACGTATATGTAGGCCAATTGACGATGAGTTCGTAGCCACGTGCACTTTGTCCTTTCATTCAGTCCCTGCTGAATTCTGCAGCCACAAACTAAAAATTCTGCGGTCAGTTCTTGTGGATTCTGCAACCAAATTTTGATAATTTTTTTAAGCTTAGTTTTCATGAATTGTTGTTTTGCACTTGTTTGACTTGTGGCAAGCATTTTCCTGATAAACTTGTCCGCGGCTAGAATAGCTTATTGAAGTGAATCAGGGGATGACTAGTGTGAGCATACAGACATGCACTTTCAACAAACAAATAATAGGAGAATCAACTTCACTTCAAAACCAAATAAACATCCGCTAACACATATAAAACCAACTTTTGACTCACATGTTAAAATTCTGCAATGTATTTGACAAATTCAGCAGCACAAAAATTCAAAATTCTGCATGAGTTCTGCACAAAATGAGATTTTCTGCAAGATACGTACATTTCTGCGCAGAGTGGGCATTTCTGCAAAATATTCTGCAACCACAGAATGGCAGAATACAGTGAAGGTAGGTTTCCGTCTTGACACATGATCACTGAAAGGACGGAACTCCCCACAAGCAAGGCGACTGCTGAGAGAGTGTCACGACAGTAATAGCCTAGTCCACGGATCAGTGTGTGTATAGTTTGCATTCTCAGCTCCCTTGGAAATATACAACTAAAGTTGGCAGTTTGAAAGTTTTGCTCTCACGGTATCAACTCCTCCTACCGGGTACCCATAAGCTACCAGGTGACTATACAAATTTAAACAAAGTCACTTGCCGGCAGAGAAACACACCGCAAGTCAGTATATAGCCTGGATATTGACCGACACAATATGGTTGGACCGGTAAATTCAAGGGCTGTAGGGATGTAAAATGTCAAATGAAACTGTAGCAACACAATTCCGACATTTCTTGTGCCGCCCTTCACTGGGACAGGCCAACACAAAAGTCACAGGAAACACTGCAAATTGGTAACCTTTCAGAATTTGTCAGGATTGGAACTAAAGTCGAAAGCTTAACTAGACCAAATAAAGATATAACCCCTTTGTAATACTAAAACCTTGGGGAAACTGGGAAATTTGTTCTAGCCCACAAGAACTTGTACCAGCCCACAGGAACTTGTACCAGCCCACAGGAACTTGTACTAGCCCACAGGAACTTGTACCAGCACACAGGAACTTGTACTAGCCCACAGGAACTTGTACTAGCCCACAGGAACTTGTACCAGCCCACAGGAACTTGTACCAGCACACAGGAACTTGTACCAGCCCACAGGAACTTGTACCAGCCCAGAGGAACTTGTACCAGCCCACAGGAACGTGTACCAGCCCACAGGAACTTGTACTAGCCCACAGGAACTTGTACCAGCACACAGGAACTTGTACTAGCCCACAGGAACTTGTACTAGCCCACAGGAACTTGTACCAGCCCACTGCTCCAGCCTCCCCCCCATCAACTGACAGCTCCAGCCTCTCCCCGCCATCAACTGACAGCTCCAGCCTCCCCCCCCCCCATCAACTGACAGCTCTAGCCTCTCCCCCCTCCCCCCCCATCAACTGACATCTCTAGCCTCTCCCCCCTCCCCCCCCCCCATCAACTGACAGCTCTAGCCTCTCCCCCCTCCCCCCCCCCATCAACTGACAGCTCCAGCCTCCCCCCCATCAGCTGACAGCTCCAGCCTCCCCCCCCCCCATCAACTGACAGCTCCAGCCTCCCCCCCATCAGCTGACAGCTCCAGCCTCCCCCCATCAACTGACACAGGTCAGGACTCACCATGACTTTCAGCAGCAATGGCATCCTCCGTCTCCCGGCCTTGCTCCAGCAGCAGATACTCATACCCCGTGGCCATGATTCGAGAGTGAAGTTTGCGAAAAGGGGAGGCTTTAGTTGAAACACTTTCCATACCACATCACATTCGGGAACCTAGTACACAATTAATTATCTTAACTCAAAGCCATTATTGTCATGTCCATCAGAAGAACGATCGCCATCATCATCAGCAGCAATATTATCACACCTATCATCGTCACACCTATCATCAATACTGTCATCTTCATCACAATCATCATCATCATCATCATCATCATCATCATCATCAATTTCATCACACCTGTCATTGTCACACCTATCATCATCGCCATCGTCACCATCATCACAATCATAATCATCATCACAATCATCATCATCGCTGTCACACCTGTCATCATTGTCACACCTATCATCATCGGCATCGTCACCATCATCACAATCATAATCATCATCACAATCATCATCATCGCTGTCACACCTGTCATCATTGTCACACCTATCATCATCGGCATCGTCACCATCATCACAATCATAATCATCATCACAATCATCATCATCGCTGTCACACCTGTCATCATCGTCACACCTATCATCATCAACACTGTCATCATCACCTCAGTCACAGGCACCAACACATGAGTACCATCATCCTAACCCACATCTTCACCATCATCATAATAATCATTAGTTTTGCCCATATACATACCACACAATTAGCAGCTTGCTCCTGTTGTTTTGAATATCCATTACCCCATACTGCCATGCACGCCTTTAAACTACATCCCAAACATGCAATGACATTGAGTGAGTGTGTGAGTTGGGTTTAACGCCGCTTTTAACAGTATTCCAGTTACATCGCGGCATGTCAGCTTAATGTGGGAGGAAAGCTCGAAGTGATGCAGGTCTCAAACGTTTACCGCTTCGGTGAAACCTACAAGCACGGGTATGGTGCTGACAAACCTAGAAACATAATCGGGGCGAACCAGGATTCAGACCCACAATCATAGGTTTCTGGCGTGCCCAAGAGACGCAACTCTGCACAGAGAATCGCAGCGCCTTAGACGACTGGGCCACCCGTGCCACCCATTGACATTGATATCATTGATACGGCTTAAGTCAGAAACATAAAGAACAGTAATTACTGAGTGACACAGTTGCACAGCTCGTTCAGGGGGACCACAGTCAATGTACAAAACAATGGGGAATTACAATGAGATTAGCATCTTATAAGTAACGGCAATTAAGTGATTCTAGACACATACATCACAGCTAGAGCGTAATTGGCTTTTGGAATTAAATGTTCCTTCAGACAACGGTTGTCCCAAATCGGTCACTATGACAATATCCTGACAGCGTGAGTCTTTGCTCATGATATCAATCACTGGATTGTCTGGTCCAGACTCGGTTATTTACAAGCCTTAGTTTTTTATATAGCTGGAATGTTATTGAATGCAGTTTTAAGCACCATACGTTATTATTTCTAGAGGTGTAACGACACGGTGGGGTCGCGATGTGATACACATCCCGATACTATGGTGCGATACAATTTGTATCCTGATACAGTACTTTTATTTCACAAGTTGATTTTCTTTCATTTTGCAGGTGAATCACAACCCTGAATCATTTGTTATTAAGTTTCAGAGATCAAAGATGGGAAATTGCTGGGCAGAAACATATTGGTAGAGGGCACTGTGAATGTCATGCTATTAATGTCCAACCATGAAATACTAGAGAATCTGCATGAGCTCGTGGTTGAACAGTTTCTGGTATTATTCACATGTTTTTACACCAATATGACTTGTAATGAAATGTTATTGCGATACCGGGGTTGTAAATTGATGTATTGTATTGTGGGCCTTGTATCACGATACAATACTGTATCGCCACATCATAACACCACTAATTATTACATGTATTATCATATATGAAATATGAACAAAAAAGTTCTCAGATTTGAGAAAACATTTTAATATAGCAGCTAGGGCTGGGATGGGTGACTAGGGTACCCGGGTCGGGTGGGTACTGAGTAGGACCCAGGTACCCACAGGACTACCCGGACCCGTGGTTAGTCACGTGAGTATATTGTTTAATGTCAAAAATTATCTAGAACTCTATGGTTACACTATAAGTGATAAATGTTCACACATTCCTTCTGACTTTATATGTTTGCATAATGATAAAACATCAGTCAACTTCAGTGTATGCATGACCAGATTGGTTTATACGTGTATCTAAATTTATTTTTGACAGGAGTACGGTCAATCTATTCCCAAACGGACATGTTTTACCTATCTCTTGAGACCTACAGCGGGTACCCAGGTAGGGTCGGTTAACAGGGGAGTGGGTACCTGGGTAGTAAATTTGGACTGGTCCCAACCCTAATAGCAGCCTTAAACGAAATCACAATATTTCTGTGGAAATTTAAGATGTGGAAGTTTCGTCACAGCATGAATACTTACAAGCTTCCTGCAAATAGGGAATGGTTGTAACTTGTTGATGTCATGTATCTTGGCCAAGCTTTTTTATCTCATGAATTTATCTCAAGATAGCACCAAGGATAAACATGTTTACGTCTGGAGAGATAAGGCGGAGGACAATGAGTCAACATTACGTAGGACAGAGGCTATGGTGCGACCGTAAACAGGAATAACGTGGGAGTGATAAACAAGTAAACATGTGTGCAATATCTTGGTGGTCTAAAATAACAACAGGTGATGTCATAAGCTATCTAACTGACATCTTCACAAACAGGTCTTCCTGCTTTGATTAAATGAAAATGAAATAGAATATTCTGCATTGTCTTAGGCCCAGCATTGCATGGTCTGGTACGCAACTAAAATGTTTGTAGTTATAAAGATATTTTATTTATCTGTCAAGATTATCAGTTATGAAAATGAAAATAAATTTCTAATATTTCTATTTTATTTTCTGATGGTGGCTTTGGTAGGTCAAATCAGTTCGGAAAATTGGTTGGTCGAGATAGGTCTGACAAATACTGTATTAGACGTAATAAGCGCCCCGCTCTAGTAAGCGCCCATATATTTGCTAATATATTGGCAAGTGAACAATCCCAATTAGCACCCCTTCCAATTGATCAATGTACACAAGACTTAAATTTATAAACTGTGGTCAGTTTCTTCAGGTCAATAACAATATCAAATTGTACAAATGCACTAAAATATTTTGACAATAATTCTTAAACATCAGGAATATTTTTCATCACTTAGCAAATATTGCTCCAAAATAAATATGAAAACAAAATGACTAAGTTGGTGGTCGATGTAAACAAAGTCTGGTTTCAACAAAGTGGTGGGTGGGTTTGCCAACTAACAATAGGTTCGTGAATGCAGAAATAATCTGGCCAAGCTGGGCTTACGTTGGTTATTATCAACAATTATAGATGATTGTACTCATTATTTCCTATTAAGTATAATTCTCTCATGAAATGTCAGCCATACTTTAGCATGAATGAGTTGTAGTTATTTGATTGTAGTTTCACGCCTTAGTCAGCAATGTTCTGCCATTATCGGGGAAGCCTGTGGATAATCGAGTCTGGGTCACGCAAACTAGTGGTTAATATCATGAGCAACATCCCACACTGCTGATGCATGACTCCCTCATCCAATCTTGTTACCTTGACTACCTATTTAAACTGGGTCCCCACTTGAATGAGAGTCAGTCATATTTGTTTGTTTGTTTTTTGAAGTCACACTCAGCAATATTTGTTTGTTTGTTTTGTTAGGTTGTTTTTTGTTCAACGCTGCACTCAGCAATATTCCAGCTATATGACAGCGGTGAGTAAATAATTGAGTCTCGACCAGACAATCAAGTGATTGACATCATGAGCATCGATCTATGCAATTGAGATACAATGACATGCATCAACCAAGTCAGCGAGCCTGACCACCCGATCCTGTTAGTCGCCTCTTACGACAAACATAGTCGCCTTTTACAGCAAGCATTGGTTGCTGAAGACCTATTCTACCCCGGATATTCACAGGTCTCTCAGCAATATTCCAGCTATATGACAGCAGTCTGTAAATAATTTAGTCTGGACCTGACAATCTAGTGATTGAGATCATAAGCATAAATCTACACAATTGCCAATTGCAAGTCAGCGAGCCTGACCACCTGATCCCGTTAGTCGCCTCTTGTGACAAGAATGACTTGCTGATGACCACCTCTAACCCAGATCATCACAGGGAATGAGAAATATATGAGTTATGGATGACAACGTTATAGTAAAATTTGAGTATCAATGAATTGTTTAAAATTATCATATTTCCTCCAATAAACTATTATTTTTTTAACCTCATCACCAGATGCATATATAATACATATTTCCTTATTGCTCAAAGTTAGATAAATATTCAATGTTCAGCATTATATTTAAGAATTGACTTCAATATTTTGGGTATTTATGGAAATTAACAGAGTTCAGAAATCATGTGAATCAGTGTAAATTTGCTAATATATTGGCTAGTGAACAATCCCAATCAGCACCCCTTCCCATTGATCAATGTACACAAGACTTATTTATACGTGAATAATACTCACTCATGTGTTATATGCACCCTTAATTATGGGCAATTAAATTCTGGAAAATATATATATATTTATATACTGTCATGTATAATATGCACTTTTCTTTTGTATTTCAGGCTGTCAGCATAAACCACGATATTTACGATCTTTCAACTCTGTTTTTTTCACCAAAATAATATTCTAATGAGAGCCCCCTATTCCTAATTTTGAGAGCGCCCTTGGCGCTTATTACGTTGAATACGGTATGTTCTTATAAATGAATAAGTCACCAATAACAACTACATAGAGAGCTTATTCAGTCTTTAACACACCAAAATCTGTAGACAACTATCACAGATGTTATTTATGTTATCAGTTGTCAGACATTCATTTTGTGGAAGCGTCAGTGGCTGAGTGGGTTTGATCGCTGGCTTTCTGTGCTGGTGATTAGGTGCCTCACTCTGGCAGTGTGGGTTCGAATCCCGGATGGAACTCAACCCCAAAAAGTACTGGAATCTGTACTTTACTAAGAAAGTATTATCCCAAATATAACATTTGTTACATTTGACCACTTTCTAAATGGCATTCATGTTTTCATAGCTTCTTGTTATCAGTTATATGCAGATAACACTATATATACAGATAACACTAGTTATTACCATAACATGGATTAGGAAATTTTTAATTCCAATTTGGGAATAGTTGCTGACATTTCTTTCAAACTTGGAGCCGAATATCAGACTCAAAGCAAGTCTAGATGAATCCATGCATTGCCAATTTTGTTTTAGCATTTTGAAAAATGTATGCAAACTATAATTATTTGGTTAGACAATCAAATGTCATGTACCACTTGCAATTTCGGCAGTAGAAACTAACAGTTTTAGTCCACTAGGCTTATAATGATAACATATTGCAAAACCCTTAAAAATCGCAAATTTCTGCTAGTCCTTAGGATACCTTAACTATTGGGCAGTTTGGCAAGGACTATAGAACTAGTGCCAATTTCTACCGCTGGATTTATTTATTAATATATATTATTTTGATATTTTCTATCGCTAGTATTAGTACACTTGAAAGTCCCACGGGCAAAAACCTGTGTATATCCTGAGTATATGCCTAGCCACGTTAACACAACCTGTGACACACGATAGAGGCTGATATCCATCTATACAAACATAACAGCTCAAGTTGTGTTGTGTTTACTGAAACCGAGACATTGACACTGACATTGTAAATCTTGATTTGTTCTAGATTGTAAGGAAATATCACACATTTACAGGCAATTTCGCCTCCATGAAAAAATAATTAGTTTTTCATCAAAAAAATTAAAATTTGAAAGCAGATAAAAGATATATACTGTATTCGACGTAATAAGTGCCCAGGGCGCTCTCAAAATTAGAAATAGGGGGCTCTTATTAGAATATTATTTTGGTGAAAAATAGAGTTGAAAGATAAATTTCGTGGTTTATGCTGACAGCCTCAAATGTTTATATACGACAGATATATTTTTCCAGAATTTAATTGCCCATAATTGAGGGTGCATATTACACATGAATGCGTATTATACACGAATAAATAGGTCTTGTGTACATTGATCAATTGCAAGGGGTGCTAATTGGGACTGTTCATTAGCCAATACATTAGCAAATATTGCCGTGGGCGCTTATTAGAGTGGGACGCTTATTAACAGCAACCACGGTCAGAATACCGCTATTGACGCCTTGAAACGAACTTTAGTTGACAGAGAATGGATACATATATCATAAATGACATACTTTGACTCGTTAAAAGTCATATTTGTTTTTGTTTGACGATTCTATGTCAACATTCTCGCGATCACGCGATCATGTGCGCGTGAGCCTTGACGGTGACTGGTCAGATTGGTTCCATGTAAAAAATAATACCCGGGAATAGCGATCAGCTGCTTCGCTTAGGGTTATTATTATTTTAAATATGTTTAGTAAAGGCTGCATATAATTAAGAAAATAATGGAATATATTATTCCTGATAAAAAAAATAGTTTCAGATACAATTTTTGCTGATCCTTGCATTAAAAATCCTTTAAAGTTATATCATTGGGTGTGTCTTGACCGAATCACCAGTCGATTCCAAGAAAACGTGTGTACAGCTGATTGCTGTTTCCGGCTTAGTTTACGAGACAATGCACAAGGTAATCTTAATCCCTGGATATAAAACAATGCCTAGCAGAACAATAAATACTATTTAATCGGTAAATAAACATGTCTGGTGATTTTTTATCTCAAATTTCGAATTTGTACTGACGAAGTTTCTCATCACCCGTTCGTTTGCCGGACTTCGCTGAAAGGGTACGGTGTAATTTTTTTCTGCGCATAATATTCAAATTTCTTTTTTTTTCAAAATATTGAACCCGCTAGAGGGGGGTGCGCATTATACATGGGTGCGCACTATACTCAAGAAAATACGGTATGTCGAATACGGTATGATTGTTTAAAGCGAACTGTTCATGGCAGCTGTGTGCATGAGTTGTAGAACTGTATTTGTCTTCGATACTGTTTGCACTGTGTAATTGCTACATACTGCTTCCCCTACATTACATTCATATGTGAGTGTGAGTGAGTTGGGTTTAACGCCGCTTTTAACAGTATTCCAGTTATATCGCGGCGTGTCAGCTTAATGTGGGAGGAAAGCCCGAAGTGATGCAGGTCTCAGACGTTTACCACTTCGTTGAAACCCACGAGCACGGGTATGGTGCTGACAAACCTAGAAACATAATCGGGGCGAACCGGGATTCGAACCCACAATCATAGGTTTCTGGCGTGCCCAAGAGATGCAACTCTGCACAGCGAATTGCGGCGCCTTAGACGACGTGGCCACCTGTGCCCCCTATATTCATATGTACAAAAAGGTCTGTGGTCAACAAGTTTGTTTGTTTATTTGATGTTTAACGCTGCACTCAGCAATATTACAGCTATATGACGTCAGTCTGTAAAAAACGAGTCTGGACCAGACAATCCAGTGATTGATATCATGACCATCAATCCATGCAATATGGATCGATGACATGCATCAACCAAGTCAGCGAGCCTCACCACCCGATCCCGTTAGTCGCCTCTTACGACAAGCATAGTCGCCTTTTACAACAAGTATGGATTGCTGAAGATCTGTTCTACCCCGGATCTTCACGGGTCGGGGTCAACAAGTACTGTAAAAAGTTTGATTGACTGATAAGAACTGGCATCAATCTGCAGGAAATATTATTAGAAATTGTATATTTAAGATTTGACTTCAATATGTCTTTGTGTTTCTGGAGGCATAAATTACCACTTGATAAATCAAATTTGTATCCTTGTTGGTGCTGTTGCCAAATATATCTGTGTATTCAATTTCTCAGTCGTGAAAACTATTTTTACTGTACTGAAATAACATAAGAGAAAATTGTTATGTTTTACAATCTATCAAAAAACTTGTCACTAACTATATGTCAACTTAACCTTAAAATCCTAAAAGATATAGCTTACGTCATACATCATATGAATTGTTATATATCATATATATCCTCTTCTCAAACCATCCCACACTTTAACAACAAATAGTTACATCTCAAGCAACGAACAGAATATACCCACATACACTCAATTATCAACAAAATAAAATTTTTAAAAAAATTATCAATCATATGTATCATAAATATCCTCTTTCAAAACTGTCACAACGCACTTTACAAACACACAGTCACTTCACAAGCCACAAAAGGAATATATCAACATAAAATCACTCAATTGTCAATCAAGTATGATCTTAATCAAAATTATCAATTACATCTTTTATCATAAACATCCTCTTTCAAAACTGCCACAACGCACTTTACAAACACAGTCACATCACAGGCCACACAAGGAATATATCAACATACAGTCACTCAATTGTCAATCAAGTATGATCTAAATCAAAATTATCAATTATATCTTTTATCATAAACATCCTCTTTCAAAACTGTCACAACGTACTTTACAAACACACAATCACATTACAAGTACCCATAATAAAAATCTCAGCCAAAATTTTCACATGTCTCCCACCCCGAGTACAGTCCTTCCATGACAGATCACCTTCATTTCCTAGAGCAACAGGTTCACCCACAGAATCTACAAAATCTATACATGCCTCATCCAAAACTCCAAATCTCGTCAAACATCACAAGCCTCCCCTTGGGTGTGAACAGCTCCAGGATGTGGCACAACACGGCACAACATACCACAACACCTCCAAACTGGACTTGACAGTACAGCCCACACACTCCCAGTGCAATGTGCTACTGTCAGGAAGAAACTTTTCACAGGGGCTTATCGCTGTTGGGCATTCATTAGCTGCAGTACAACAGGTGGTTGAGCCACAACAGTGGCTGGTTGTGTGGCTAAAGTTAAGCCTCAATGATGTTCCGGTTTGCAGGTTCTGCTCAGTTGACAGTTACGGTTCACTGGGTGTGTTGACAGTCACTATGGTCTGTTTCAGTAACCTGGCCTGGGTTGAGAAACACTATAGTCTGTTTAATTACACCATTCAACAAAACATGCCCTCTGCTTGAGGTGAGGTGAGGTGAGGTGAGGTGAGATGGGGTTTAACGTCACATCCAAGATTATTGCACTTATATAGCGACGTGTGTGTGTGTCACTGCTTGTACTAGTCCAGACTGATGCCGATTTATAGTGCTAGCCCACTCTGATACCAAATCACAGTTTAACATGAGTACCCCACTCAGACACAGTATACTGACTCCGAGCCGACCAGTCCTTGTTTTAGCCCCTTAATGCCAGAGCGCCAGGGTAACAACAAGTACCATCATTTAACGTCTTTTGGTATGATGCGGCTGGGGATCAAACCCCAGACCTTCCTCTCTCCGGGCAGACACTCTACCACTAGACCACGGAGACGGTCCCCTCTGCTTGAAGCCTCAATGCTGCAACTTAGTGCTTGTATATGCAGTTGATAGTTTTTCAATTTCTGCTAAACAAATCTAAGTTTGTTGACTAAATGACATATGCTATTGACGGGTCACCGAGGTATGTACAGTGTCAAACATAAACCTGTAGCAACAAGCGTCAATAGGTCTGTGTATGTTGACAATGTGGTAACAGTTTAAGAACATGTTGTTTATGCCTGTTACACTGATCGGATGTTATTATGAATGTGGTCAAATGGGCAATGACTATACAAAACAATGAAAAGAGCAAGATTGAAGGTGGTTGATACGCAACCCAAAACACACGCCTGAATTCCACCAGTGGTGGAGCCCATGCACGAGCAATGCCTGACAAGTAACAGTTAATGTTACTGTATGTATTTCTACATGTCACTAATAGAGGCTCTGTATCGTCGGAGGCACGGGTGGCCCAGTCGTCTAAGGCACCGTGATTCACTGTGCAGAGTTGCGTCCCTTGGAAACGCCAGAAACCTATGATTGTGGGTTCGAATCCCGGTTTGCCACGATTATGTTTCTAGGTTTGGCAGCACCATACCCGTGGGTTTTACCGGCGTGGTAAACGTCTGAGACCTGCATCACTTCAGGCTTTCCTCCCACATTAAGCGGATACGCCACGATATAACTGGAATACTGTTAAAAGCGGCGTTAAACCCAACTCACTCACTCACTTTGGATCGTCATGTATGATGTGTCTTCTACTTCTCCATTTGGTTACACATCATAAAATATTTGTAGAACTTCAAACCAAATCTCTTCTGTTGTCACTAACCTCCACAAATATATATACTTTATTTCACCAGACCCGTGAAGATCCGAGTTAGAATAGGTCTTCAGCAACCCATGCTTGCTGTAAGAAGCGACTATGCTTGTCAGAAGAGGCGACTAATGGGACTGTTTGGTCAGGCTCGCTGACTTTGTTTAATGCATGTCACTGTATCCCAATTGCATGGATTGATGATCATGATGTCAATCACTGGATTGTCTAGTTCAGACATGATTATTTACAGACCATTGCATAGAGCTGCGTTAAACAACAAACAAACAAACAAACCAAAAGTGACTTTGATTAAGGAATCCTGATTAAAAACTAAAAATGAAATATGTCCCGAAAGGCAAAAACTCTGCTCATCCATGCCATGGAAATACCTAGAACAGCAACAGCAGCTGTGGCCTGTGTAATTGATAAATAACAATGCTTATTCACATTCAAAACATCAAGCATACTATCGCTTCTTCAATCTTTTTGTAAATACTCTGTATGTACATATTAATGTCATATGGTAGTATTCTATCCTTTTATCACTGTAGACTAAATAAAATTAAGTGACCGAGTGTGCTTTTACGCCACTTTTAGCATTACTCCAGCAATATCACGCCAGTGGACGCCAGAATTGGGTGTCACACACTGGATCCATATGGGCAACGAGTGGGGATACGCAACCGCCCAAAAAGTGAAAAGTTAACTTTCACTGGCATGAAAACATCCCTGGTGCTGCTCTGCATCAGAACAAAAGAGCAGAGAGAAGCGGGGCGAGGGCACAGATAGCCAAACTCATGGCATCATAGAGTGGGAAGGCGCTAAGGGAATGGTTGATGGTTGGTTTGTTGTTTTATGCCGCACTCAGCAATATTATAGCTATATGACGGCGGTCTGTAAATAATCGAGTCTGTACCAGACAATCCAGTGATTAATATCATGAGCATCGACACGCTAAGGGAATGGACTAGGGCTGGGACAAGTCCAAATTTACTACCCAGGTACCCACCCCCCTATTACCCGACCCTACCCAGGTACCCGCTGTAGGTCTCAAGAGATAGGTCCAAAGGTCCGATTGGGAATAGTTTGACTGTATCCCTGGCAAACTGTGTTTAGATCTATACACTCTAAAACGATCTGGTCATGAATAAACTGAAGTCACCTGAAGCTTTATCTTTATTTAAACATAAAGTCAGAAGGAAAGGGTGCATAGTCAGAAAGAAATGCAAACATCAGTCACTTATAGTGTAACCATAGAGTTCTAGATAAATTTTGCTATTAAACAATATATCATTTGATTAACCACGGGTCTGGGTAGTCCTGTGGGTACCCGGGTCCTATTCAGTACCCACCCGACCCAGGTACCTGAGTTACCCGTCCCAGCCCTAGTAAGGACAGCTTGTGAGTGTCAAGTACCCAAACAACGGAGGCTGAAGCTCATGTTACTTCTTTGACTGGGGTAAATGATGTTCAAATACAAAGTGCAACATTAGAAACTGAACTTGAAAACTTAAGATTCGATGCACGGAAAGATGAACAGGAAAAGAAAATCCAACATGTCAGTAGGGAATCACATGTTTCACAGGGCCCTGAGTCCTACAAGCACAATACAACAAAACACAGCAGAATAAAATAAGGAAACAAGAGGATATGTTTATAACAACAATGGCCAACGGCATACTTTATGGTCATGAAGATCCACGAAGACCCCTTAGGATCCATGAAGATCCATAAAGATCCCTGAAGTTCCATAAAGACCTGAGATGGTCCATGATGGTCCATGAAGATCCATGAAGATCCATAAAGATCCATGATGATCCCCGAAGATCCATTAAGATCCCTGAAGTTCCATAAAGAGTGAGTGAGTGAGTTTGGTTTTACGCCGCTTTTAGCAATATTCCAGCAATATCACGGCAAGGGACACCAGAAATGGGCTTCACACATTGTACCCATGTCGGGAATGGAACCCGGGTCTTCACCGTGACGGGCGAACGCTTCAACCACTAGGCTACCCGACATCCCCAGTTCCATAAAGACCAATGAAGATCCATGAAGATCAAAGGCTCTCAGAAATTACCAGTAAATGACATTATGATACAGAAGTGGGTCTATATGTCAACACCTTAAACAAGAAGGCAGTGGAATATAACATCAAAATAATGAAGTGAATAATTACCTGAAATACATGATGGATATATTGACAGGTTCATGTGGCCATCTGTTCCGCACTATGATCATGGCTACAGGCAATGAGTAGGAACGCCCTACCCAGTTGAGGAACATCTGCTCTATGATCATGGCTACAGGCAATGAGTAGGAACGCCCTACCCAGTTGAGGAACATCTGCTCTATGATCATGGCTACAGGCAATGAGTAGGAACGCCCTACCCAGTTGAGGAACATCTGCTCTATCATCATGGCTACAGGCAATGAGTAGGAACGCCCTACCCAGTTGAGGAACATCAGTTCTGCTCTATGATCATGGCTACAGGCAATGAGTAGGAACGCCGTACCCAGTTGAGGAACATCTGCTCTATCATCATGGCTACAGGCAATGAGTAGGAACGCCCTACCCAGTTGAGGAACATCTGCTCTATGATCATGGCTACAGGCAATGAGTAGGAACGCCGTACCCAGTTGAGGAACATCTGATCTATCATCATGGCTACAGGCAATGAGTAGGAACGCCCTACCCAGTTGAGGAACATCTGCTCTATGATCATGGCTACAGGCAATGAGTAGGAACGCCATACCCAGTTGAGGAACATCTGTCTTGCTCTATGATCATGGCTATAGGCAATGAGTAGGAACGCCCTACCCAGTTGAGGAACATCTTTCTTGCTCTATGATCATGGGTACTTAAGACAGAACTCCCAATTACCAAAAAGTTGTAAGTGAGAAGAAACTGACCTAATCCTGGAGGAACGGAGAAAACTGCTTCTGAGAAAAGACACTGACAGGTCATATATTCCAATCTCAACAAACCAGATCTTTAACCCTGGTGCGATACCTCTCGGTGTGAAGACCTGACAACACCACCATAGAAGGTCATGTTAGGTGAACCCTGAGCAACTTTGACAACTCAATCCAAATGAAAGATGCAGTCTCTCTAAAATGATTTTGTTATATTTTTTCACTGCCTTGGAGATTTCAATCGTAGTAAAGGAAATGAAACACAACACAAATATACCTTCCATAATATGATACTCTTTCTGGTGTAGATGCCATGTGGCTCAGAAAAGATAAAATATTCACGACAAAATAGCATGGTTTTATTGTTCTGTGTTCACCATTGGAGACTGGATGTTGTTTGTTTGTTTGTTTGTTTGTTTGTTGTTTAACGCTGCACTCAGCAATATTCCAGCTATATGACAGCAGTCTGTAAATAATCGAGTCTGGACCAGACAATCCAGTGATTGACATCATGAGCATCGATCCATGCTATTGGGATTGATGACATGTATCAACAAAGTCAGTGAGCCTGACCACCTGATCCCGTTAGTCGCCTCTTAAGTCAAGCAAAGTCTCCTTTTACGGCAAGCATGGGTTGCTGAAGACCTATTCTACCCCGGATCTTCACGGATCGAGACAGGATGTGTTGAGTTTGTTACATGTGTCTGTATGGGCTTGCCTGTTTACTTTAGCTTACTGAGGCTGGGGAATTTTCTACCCCAAGTAAAATTTGACGAAGGACATCCTTCTCAGTGTGGA